CATTGCACTCCAGCCTGGGCAACAAGGGTGAAACTCTGCCTTAAAAAAAAAAATAGATAAAGTCAAGATGAAGGATGAACCACAGAATACTTGAAGGTTGTCTGCTAAATCTGTTTCTCCTAAGTCAGAGCCCAAACCTAAAAAGGCCCTTGCAAAGAAGGAAGAGAAGGTACCCAAAGGAAAAAAGGATGCTTGATGCTAGCAAGGATGGGAATAACCCTGCAGAAAATGAAGATGCCTAAATAGACCAGGGACAGGAAGCTGAGGCACTGCAGATACCAAGTGAACTGTGTGCATTTTTGATAATTGTGTACTCTGGTGAGGGCAGGTTGAAATAAGATTTTTTACCAAATTATATAAAAGTACAGAATTTTGTTTTCCTTTTTTTTATGTTATGCTGTTAGCACGCCAAACACTTCATTGTGGTTTTCTGAGGAAGGGGCATATATTACTAATAAAATGTTCCTGAAGCTGGATTAATGTGGGAAAACACCTTTCCTTTCTAGTTTTGAGAGACTTCCTCTTGACTTCCAGAAGGAAGGATTCCCTGAGGTTGACACACATAGCCACCTTGGCACAAATGCCTGGTGGTGTGGAAAAACTAAAATGCATTTTTATGTCCTCTTCTCGCTCTCTTCCTTCAGCACAGACTTAACTTCCTTAAACCCAGACACCTGTTGGCACTGGACCCTCCCAAAATCAGTTACCAGTGTGCCAGGCAATCTGGACTTTCCAGTGATACCATTGAGATGACATCCCTCAAGAGAGCAGCAGGTCCAGTTCTAGATTGTGGCTCATCAGATATATTCCACCATTTCTTTTCATTTCCTGAAAGTCAGGGTTCACTCATGAAAAGTTGTTGAACATGCTAAATGTGAAATGTCAACCCTTCATCTAAACTTTCCCTGCTCAGGGTATCATCTGGGTTTTAGAGTGGCTTTCTGATTTGAGTAGTCTGTTGAAGGAGAGAATTTGAAAGCTGTTGTATACTCTTAATGACTGTCCACGTCCTGCCTGAAATACCATAATTGTTTATGAAAAGTATCTTAATAAAGCTGGATACAAGGCCAGGGGTCGTGGCTCCCAGCACTTTGGGAGGCCTAGGTGAATAGATTGTTTAAGCCAAGGAATTTAAGACCAACCTGGGCAACATAGCAAGACCTCATCTCTACAAAAATAAAAAATATTAGCCAGGCATGGTGGCACATGAGAGTACTCCTAGCTACTTGGGAGGCTGAGGCAAGAGGATCGCTTGAGCCCAGGAGTTGAAGGCTGCAGTGAGCCATGATAGTGCCACTGCATCCAGCCTGGGCGACAGAGTGAGATCCTGTCTCAATAAATAAATAAATAAATAATGAAATAAATAAAATTTAAAAGCTGTATACCATTTGGCTTGGGGGAAAAAGGAGTTGCAGTGACCTATAAAATAATATAGAGTGAGAAGATGACTTGGTGCATTGATTATTCAATTCAACAAACATTAATTGAGGACTTGCTGCGTGCCAGGCATGGTAATAGGAGCTTGCAAAACAGAGGTGAAAAAATACACTTTTTGTGTCCACAGTCAATTGTTGTCTAGTAGGCAAAGCTAACGTAAGAAGATAATTAATCATAGCACAATTAGTACAGTCAAAAGGTGGTATTGCAGGTGCAATGGTAACACAGAAAAAAGAATCTCCTTGGAGGAGGAGACACAACAGTTCATGGAATACAGGAAGGTGGAGTTGGAATAAGAGTTTCACAGTAACAGAAAAGGAGAAAGGCATTCTAAGCTGAGAGAACAAACTCTACAAGGGTATGTATTAGCATGACACATTTGGGCAACTGTGAGAAGGTGTTACCCCAGATTATAGGGTATTAGAAGGCAGTTAACAGGAGTGAGGCTAGGGAGGCAGACCCAGCCACATCAGGGAAGAACCTTTTGTGTCTTCAAAGAGCTTTACACTTAAATTCATACACAATGAGGATATAGATATGGCAAAAGGTGTTAGCCAAGGAGTATTGTTCAAGTTAGATCTGGGGATCAGATGGTAATTAAGTGAAAGGGAAAAAAATGTGGAGACCTAAAAATTCACTAGGGCTGTGAACTTTGATATCACACTTGACCCCTAGAATATTATGTGAGCCAGGACACCCTGATATGAGGAAAACCAACATGTAATATTTTTATCTTGCCAAGCTGATAATTCAGAGAATTAACAAGTTATGTGCATATAAACAGTAGACTCACAGGAAGCTGGCAAGTGTCGGTCACTTGAGTCCTGTAGTATCATCTACCTGATTCACCTTTGGGCTTATCAATAGCATATAGAGTCATCATGAATACTGCCTGGGTCTGCTGGGTAGCAGGCTGGTTCACTGTGGAATAAATTAACCCCACAGACTCTAGATTTGCAGGGAAGTTCCCCAGCTGGGTTTCCCATTTAACAAGGGTTCTACTCCTTGTCTGATATATTTTCTCAAATCTAATCATTTCTTATTTTTCAAATCTACTCAAATCATTAGCATTTATCTCTTCATCTTTTCTGTAAATTTGGCCCCTTTAAAGCCAATGGTTATTTTAATAATAGCAAATATTAATACTTCCATAGCACTTCCTATGTACCAGACACTATTCTAAATGCTAAATGTATGTTAAATGATTAAATTCTCATATCAATCCTATGACATGAATACTATTATTATCTTCATTTTTCAGAGGAGAAAACAGCAAGTTTCTTATGATACTAAATAGGAGCAGAGCCACTAGTCAAACTCAAGCCACCTGGCTCTGGAGCTGATATTTTTAATCACCATAATATGCTGCCTTTCACAAATCTTAGTTTGTAAAGGTACTCAGTAGGAACAAGGGACCAGTGCCTCAAACGTTACCTTACAGAAAACTTTTCTTAGATGTTCCTTTTTTGTAAACTTCAAAGTCATGTAAGCTTTGCCCCTGCACCGAGTTGCAATGCTTTTATATGCAGGGTTTGCATTGTTCCAACAACCTTAAGATCATGTTTGGAAGTACAGTTCAGCCAGATTGAAAGATTACCCCTCTCAACTGTTTTTTTGTTTGTTTTGTTTGACAGTTTAACCAAAACTCTCCATCTCACCAATAAGATTCTTCCGTAAGAGTTCTTCCAGAACATGAAACTTACTAAGAATTTGCAGCTCATTAAAACTTCTTCCTTTTAATACTCAAGATTGAAATAAAACCTCTTCTGCAAGGTCAGCAATAACAGATCTAATGTAAGCCCTTTATTGATTTTTAAAAAGTTGATTACATTAATCTTTTTACTTTTTATCTTGTCTTTAGGTCATAAGTCACCAGTCCTTTTGTGAGAGGAAACTTGTACTCTCTGAAGCTTTTAAAGAGAATATAAAAGTAACAAAGTTATTTTTTTTTAAAAAATCAATCTACCACATAAGAGTTTAGGATCTACTTACTAGTTGAAAGATCCTTGACCCTGCCCAATCTTAGATGTTTCCTATGTCATCTTTGGAGTCTGAGCTTTATTTCCAGAAATGATTAATTATTCAGAAAAAAATTAGCTGGCACTTAACTCTTCCAGGTTTTGAAAGATTCTATGCGAGCAACTCAGAACTTTATGGACCTCTGATTCTGCATACACTACTAAAATACTTCCCACTTTTTTCCACGACTTTTTCAACAAATCAATGAGAATGAACCAAAGGTCAAAACTTTCAGCAGAATTTTGTGAAAATTATCGCTAATGCTTCAAAGTGAGAGGACCAGGAAGATGGTGGTAGAAGAATCTGTGTTTTTCTTTAAACGTTAATGGTTTATTAGCACAGACCTTTTAAGTCAGGCCACTAAAAGGCAGCGGATGTTTTCAAGTCCCTTTGGGCTGGCGAAGCACGTGCTTGCTGTGCCTTATCAAGCACTGAACATTGAATACGTGTTGTAAACAGAGCTGATGAGCAACCTTAACAACGACTCACCTCTGCTATTTTAACAAAATGTTAAGCTAAAAGAAAAAATATTAGCATACAAGGCAGGATGTTCCCCTTTATATTCTGAGGTCTGTCCACGGTGAGCAGGCCACACCCACCCTTGGGAGAGATAGAGAATGATTGATTATGCATAGCAAACTGCAGGTTTGAACCCCAGCACCGCCATCTACGATTTGTGCAATCTTATCTTGGAACACATACCTAGAAAACGTGAATGATCCCAACGTTTAAGATGAGAAGACAATTGAGTGGGAAAAGCAGGTGAAAAGAGTGGACCCCAGCAGCCTCCCAGTAACCTAGTTCTCCCTTCCCCTCTCCGTGTCTGTGGTGTTTGGTGGCCTCATCTCTCGCCGCCTCCAGCAGCTCCTTCATTCAGTGAAGGTTCTAGACCGAATGGCCACATTCCTGTGTGTGGGTACTGACCACTCACCACCTTTCTGCTTTTCGGTGCTTTGTTCTTTTATCTTGCCTAGCAGCCAAAGCTGAGGCTGGTGGGAGTCATTTCCAGCTCCGACAGTAGTGGAGTAGGGTTGAGGGAAACGCCAAGGCGGGCTCCGCGCCTGCCGTCCCCAGCCCCGTTGGGCTGTGGCACTCTCCTGACCAAAGTCTGGGCCACCGGGAAGCGAGAGGGAGCGCCACTAAAGGTCTCTTTTGTGCCCTGTATTTGGCCACTCCATGGCCAGGGTGGGAGGGGAGGCGGACGGTGCACGACACCACGACTCAGAGAGCGGTCCCTGCGCTTGCTCCGCAATTCCCGGGCTCCGGGAACTGGCCTGGGCGGGGAAGCGGGCGGGGAAGCAGTCGGGGCGCAGCGGCACCCGGCGAGACTGCAGGGCGCCCGAGCGGTCGGACGGGGGAGCGAGAGCTAAAGCTTGCGGAGCGCGCCAAGCCGCCGTCGCGGGCGGCCCTGGCCGGGAAGCTGACGCCGCGCGGAGCCCGCCCGGCCGCGGGAGCGGCGAGAGGCGGGTGCCGAGCTGGGGGCGGAGCAGGCGGCGCCGGGGAGGCGGAGGCGGTGTCTCCCAGAGCTGCGCAGGCGTTGCTGGCACCTTGTTGATTAGTCAGTGCTGGGAGCGCTGCTATGGCGTTTCTCAGACCCGCGGCTCCTCCTCACACTCTCGAGGCGGAGGGAAGGAGGGGTAAGAGGAGGAGGCGAGAGGGCGGCCGCCGCAGCTGCAGAGCCGGGGCCAGAGGAGGAGGCGGAGCGGGAGCCGCCGCAGCCACCCGGGCCGCCGCCGCCGCCCGCAGCCGCTGGGCTGCTCTGAGTCCTCTCCGGGCTTGAGGGCACGCGGGGCGCCCCAGCCATGCCCCGCAGCGGCAGCTGAGCCGGGCGCCGGCCCCCTTCCTCCGGGCCGCCCCAGCCGCCGCGGCCCCCGGCTGCCCGCGGCCGGAGCTGCCCAGCGCCTCCCGCGCGCCCCAGACCGCGAGCGCGAGCAGCGGCAGCCGCCGAGGCGCGGGTGGTGCGGGCGGCGGCGGCGGGGGAGCGCGGGACAGGAGGCGGCGGGGAAGATGGACCCGGCGCCCTCGCTGGGCTGCAGCCTCAAGGATGTGAAGTGGAGCTCGGTGGCGGTGCCGCTCGACCTGCTAGTCAGCACTTACCGGCTGCCCCAGATCGCGCGGCTGGACAACGGTGAGTCCCGGCCGGGGCGCGGGGCAGACGGGCGAGGACAGCCGTCTCCACGCGGGTGTGCGCGCGTGTGCTGGAGAGGGTGGGACCCGGGGGGAGTGGGCTGTCCACCCCCGAGTGCCGGAGTTGGCCCGAGCGGCTGCCGCAGTCCTGGCGCGTTCTCTCAACTCCCCCCAGCAGCAGCCGGGGAGATGGAAATCAGTCCTTGCAGTATAATTTAAAAGGACGCCCTAAAAATAAATAAATAAATAAAAAGTCAACATAGGAAGACCTCTGCAGATAGTAATCTTGGACGCCAGCGATCCCTCCCCACCCTCCTGCAAGAATTACTCAACCAGGGAAACCCTGAAGAGTTATCTTAGGCAACTTTCTTGAGAATATCATTGTGCTCTGGGTGGCATATTGATTTGGGTGCTCTCCTCCCTGTCTCCCCCATACCCCGCCAAACATTTAAGAGGAAACGCTCCCGGGTGACCATTGAAAAGGATCACATTTCTCAGAGACCTTGTATTACAGCTCGTTTGTTTCGTTTAACCCAACTGAAAGTAATTTAGGGCTGTCCGTAGAAAATGCTTTTAGCAGAAGTGATGGTATGCTTAAGGTTAATTATTAGGTTAGCGCATTTCCAGCCTGAAAAAAAAAGTAAGTCACCAAAACGTATTGATTCGGAACCTGAACTCGGAACTAAGGTGTATTTCCTGAAACTGACCACCAGAAACTCACCGAACCTCCATCCCCCAACTGTTTATTCTCTGTTCTGACAGCTGCAAACACATAGTTGCGCATACTGTCAAGCAAGTAGACACCTTTCAATTTGAGAGTGATGACAGGTAAGGTGGCAATTTAGGTGTGTTTGGTCTTCTCTTGCTTTTATTATAACTTCCGTGGGCTTTGGCTTCATGCGATTTTAGACTGTAGAAAGAAGCCTGCCCTGCTGTGGAGCAGCTGTGGAAGTACCCGGGCCCAGGCTGGCAGGCAGGCAGGCAGACAGAGCTGTAACTATACAGGCCGGATCAGAAGAACACTAAGCAGACAGATGTCATTTCAAGTTACAGGCATTAGGGTTACTTCTTGTTTTTTGGAGTAAAAGAGTAGGTAACATGAGACGTATACATATGCAAAGGAATTTTTATTCTGTTTCTTATCTGTGGAGTTTGATTAGACGTTTGTATCACTGATGTGAAAACAAATGCAGGAAAGTTCGTGAAAGCTGGAAGACCACCTTGGCCTGCTTGCTATCCTTGCTTGATTGTTGGTGGTAGTAGGGTGCATTGGGAATAAGCTAGAGGATTTTAAACTAGTAATGAAGTGCAGATCACAGTAGCTGTTGAAGGGGGACACGCAGGTGGCGTGTTGAGGCGTTTCTGCTTAGAGTAGGGGTGGGAAAATATTGTGTGCTTAAAGTAGCATCTACAGACCTGAATTGGTGTGTGTTTGTATTAACAGCGTTTCATTTCCTCCTCCAAAATTGTGTATATCGGAATATTGTGAGTCCTCACCTTTTCCAACCTTCTCTCATCTCTGAACACTGCCAAATTGCTAGCTGGGCAGAGAGCATTGCTGCATGTGGTATAAATGTCACCCAAAAGCTTCATTAAACAAAGTTTAAAGGGGTGGAATATCACTTTCAGACATGACTTTTAGTTTTATTTCCCACTTTTCTATCCCTGCCATTCATAAAAAGGATCTGAATCAGCAATGTATTCATCCCACACTTCGTTCTAAAATGAGGACGTGGGTAGCAAGTCTTAACACTGTGTCCTTTCAAGCTGTGGAATGGATTTTGATCACTACATGTAATTCCAATTCTTCATTGTAAATTTCTCTTATTTCCTTATTGCCATTTGAGAATCAGAGTGGCACACACAGATTTGGAATCATAGCCTGATACTGCTTTATATCTTGCTTCTTTAACTTAACAGGCCTATCTCATTTAAATATTTTTGTTAACATGATTTTTAATAACTGCCAAAGAGTCCATGGGCTAAGCTATAGTATGTAATTTCATACCCTATTGTGGGGACATTATTAAGCTATATTATTTTGTGCTATTAAAAATTGTGATATAATGAATACTCTTGTACATACATTTGGGGTTTTTTTAGTTAGAATATATTTTTACTTTGCTGAACAAGCATGTCAGTCCTATTAAAATCCTTGATACATATTGTTAAATTGCTTTAGAGGCTAAAGGAAATCCTCATTTATACCAACATGAGCGTTATGGGAGTATCAGTCTGCCCACACTCTTAAATTATTAAGTATTTACAAAAATTTTATCTGCTAATTTGATGGGGAAAAGTGTTGTTTTAGCAGTTTAATTTGGGTAGATTTTAAAAGAGTGAAATCATAGATTCTGTGCATATTTTTAAACGTGTTTCAGAGCAGTTTAGGACAGGTCGAGGACATGCTGGCATATTTATAAATGTTATAGGTGAAATCTTAAGTTTTGTGCTGTCCTCATCCTGTGTCTTTTCCCCAGTTTTAGTACTGCAGGTGCATTTTGCACATGCACACGCCCACCATATATTTAAGACATGGAACATAGTCATTTTCCAAATCACTTGTTTTTAAAGAGACTAGAACAAAATTGAAAAACATACCAATAGTTGACATCATCCCAAGAGGAAATGATTGGCTAATTTTTAATAGTTGTTAAAGAATATTAAAAATCTAATTTTACAACTACTGATTATCAGAAAGCCTACTATGGGCAGGTACATTTCTAGATGCATAATATGTATTGTATCAAATCCTCAGCAACACAATTTTTAAGAACTTCAGGAACCTAAAATTCAGAGAAATTGACTTGTCTGAAGGCTCACACCTAGTAAATGGTGGAGTGGGTTTTCCAGCCGACCTTCTGACTCTGAAGACTGACCTCTTATCTCAAGCTGGGCTACCTCCTAGTACTAAAGGAGAGTGGGGTTGAAGTTGTTCTGACATCTGCTCTAAATAGGTTCACTGTCTCTCTGGGAGCTTAAGGACCGGAAAGTCAATATTTTTAAAACAGTGTAGACACCAAATTAAATGCTGGCCTCATCCATCATACATATGACTTTCTGCTTGCCAAAGGAGTGGCTGAAAAGAGGCCAGAGGCAATGGGGAAGAAGAGGTTACAAAATAGAAGAAAACAAGGAAAACATTAGGGTTTGAGGGCCTAGTAATATAGATGTCTGTTGAGATGACTCTTCAGGACATTTGCCGTCCTTAGAATATTAACTACACAATATGTAAAGAACTCTCCAATTCTTTGCATTATAAATGTCACTCCTGAAGTTCCAGGTAGATAGATGCACTCAGTATTACATCCTTAATGGTGAAATTTGTATAAGATAAATACAAAATAAGTGAATCTTTATGAATATTGTCCCATAAGTTTTTCTGGAGAACCCCAAGAAGGGTACTCCAGCAGTTCTCCTTAGGAGATTTGATGAGATATATCTCATTAACTGAGTAAGCCCAGTCAGCAGTGCAGTTAAGATCAGATATTTTAACTGATTGATCATCAGTCTTATAAATTGTTGGCTATAGAACCTGGGTCAGCAAATGTGCTTAGGACCAAGGAGAGGACAGAGAAAATACTAATCCCAATTCCACCCCTAACCATCCTCTCTCAAAACTGGATGGGTGGGAAATTGTTCATTTTCTCTCTCCTCCTCATTTCATCTTGGATAGACCCTGAAGACTTGTGTTAGAATAGCATTCTTACAACCTGTTTGCTTCTGTACCTCCTAAAAGATTTGGTGAAACTCTGTCCCTAAGCACATTTTTCAGTTAAATGCTAAAACTTTTCATCCTAAGTTTAAATAGTTGCAGGGTATGTAATTTCTCAGCATATTTTAAAATATTTTAAAGTATGACATCATTCTAAAAACTCTAGTAAAATATGTATTTGACTTCCAATATCATTTGCTTAAAAAATTCACGAGATGCAAGATTCAGTCTTTTGAAAGTTAAACATTTTACGCCTTTTCTTTATCTCTTTAAATTCTTATTCCATTTCCCTTCCGCTGTATAGAATTCTATCTCAGTGTAATATATTTTTATGCTTGAAAGTGTTCTATTGATCACTCTGTCATACTCTCTGAACTAAAAAAAAAAAAGTATATATATTGAAATTCAGTATTTTGTATTTATTTTGATCATAAGACTTTCCATATTTAATGATTTCTGATTTTTTTTTTTTTTTTTCTTTCTTTTTTTTTAGAAACGGGGTTTCACCACGTTGGCCAGGGTGGTCTCGATCTCTTGACCTTATGATCCACCCTCCTCGGCCTCCCAAAGTGCTGGCATTACAGGTGTGAGCCACCGCGCCCAGCCGATTTCTGGTTGTTTTTTAAAACAAAGAATTGGAAATTACCTGACTTACAGAAATAGTTGTTACCTACATACGGGAAACTTTCACCCTACAACATGAATCAACATTTTAGTTTCTTTGTTTCTCCACCCAAGGTCTTTGCACCTCTTGGGCAATGCATCTTAGAAGGATGTAGAGAAGATAATACAAGTGCATTACTTTTGTAAAGTGGGTGAAGAACCATTGTGAAGGGGGAGATGACGAACAACAGCTTTCTTCCATCACTGTCAAGATCATCACAGAATGAATGTCCAGCACAATCATGGACCCCAGCCCATTAATTTTTAAACAAAAGTACCTTTGGAAATTCCTGATGTAGAAACTGATTCCTTTCATTTGTGATGAGGAGCCCTTTGGGAAGTGTTAGCCTCGCCTCAAACATGTACCCCAGTTTAAAGAATGCTGGTCTAGCACAGTAAAAGATGTGTTAATGCCCCTGTTTGCTGAAAGGAAAAGGAAGACCAAGTGCATGGAAAGGCAGGAAGAGAAGAGAAAAGAAGGTGGTAGGAGTAGGAGACTGCTAAATAGGTAGAACAGGAGCAGTGCCGGTCGCTCCTTCCTGGCTATGCCGAGGAATCAGATCAGATTCTAAGTCCCGGATGTGTTGGGACTGTGGGAACTTTGGTCCTCGCTTTGCGCTCAG